CCCGCCCAGGACCCCTGCGAGGCCTCGGCTCGGCCCCGCCCCAAGCACCTCCCTGCCCCGCCCCCTTGGCCTGGCTCTCGCCGGCCTGCGCCGGCGGAAGTTCAGTCCTGCGGCGTCGGTCAGACCTGGGCTTCCGAGGCAGCGCCCCCTGGCGTGGCCTGGAGTTGGAGTAGTTCAATGACCCTCGCCCCAGTCCTAGAGCACAGCCTGTCTCCCTCCCACCTCCTGGACCCCCCTTCCCGGGCTCTGGCCATTGCTTTGGGCCCTGGCCCCCAGCTGGTCTAGCCTGCCCCCACCTTTCCAGCTCTGTGGGGGCGGCGAGCAGCTGGACGATGGCCCCTGCGTTTCTGGTCCGTTTCTGCTGCTGTCACAGCCCTGGGCTGAGCCCTTCAGGCCGAGGCCCCGCAGTGCCCCTCTGCTCTGGCCTTCTCCGCTGAGGATGGGGCCCGCCCCTTCTCACCCAAGACAGGTTGGGGGTTTTTGCTTCTGCGTGCTCAGCCCTCCAACCAGACGTGAGCCCCCGCGGGCACACGGTGGTACCCAGAACAGGCTGCATGCCTTGAGCTTTCCAGCCCTTCAGGGACTTCACCGCGGGTGGGAAGCTGCGGAACCCACCACCCATGACCCCTCACAGCCCTGGGGGTTCTGGAACCCACTCCCAGTTCTCAGCTCCAGCCTGCATCCAGCTGCTTGTGGGGCGTGGGGGAGGGAGGGAGAGTGGAAATCAGGGCAGGCAAAGTGGGGCTTATTTCAGTGGATGAGGTAAAGAGCTGCTGTCAGGAGAAGCCTCCAGTAGCTGGAGGTAAGGCCCTCTGGTTTGGGCAACCCCAGAATGTTCCCTGTTGTGCTTGGGCCCTGCCACACCCTGCCTCTTCAGTCAGGAGGAGGATTTCCTTTTCAGTGTGGAAACCAGCTTACCCCCTCCACCGCACAACCTCCTCCAGGCCCCAGCCTCCCTCTGCAGGGGGGGAAGTCTCCCTGCACTCTCCCTGGCTCTTTGTCGCTAGGCCCTGGCTGGGCAGTCTCGGCCCTGGTGGTCGGGAAGGTCTCGGGAGATCTGTGGGGGCTTCAGGGGGGCCACCAGGAAGAGCCCATAATC